TTAATGCCCATATGAAAACAAAGCAGATGTGTTACCTTGTGCCTGTCTTTTTTTAAGAAGGGAAGCACACTGAGCATTTGTAGCCATATCCAAAGCCAGCTTTTTCTCGTTATTCCTTAAATCTGTTCTTGCTCCTAATCAGAACAAGCAAAGTGTTACTAAATGCACAATTGAAGAGGAAAAAAAAAACAGAGTTATTTTATATATTTTATAACACAAAATAATCTAAATAATAATGGTGGGACTTCATATAGGAGCAGACAATGTACTTTAAATGACACTAAACTCAGGAGTTAAGAGTTAAATCTTAAAAACGCATTCAAGTACCTTACAACAAAAATGTATCTTATTTGTGTATCATTTGGCTGTAGAAGGAAGGACATGCTGAAACTGTCCTTCCTTCTGGAGGGGGGCTACTTTTGTTCTCCATGGTCCCTTTGTGTGTTGTATAGTAGCCACCGCTCCAAGCGCAATTCTGTGATTGTAGTCTGTCTCATATTTAGTTTACCAATTCACATTGGGATTGCAGTCCATCACAGTAGCGGTGACTACTTTACAACACACAGAGATCATGGGGAACAAAAGTAGTCACCCTCCAGAAGGAAGGACAATGTCAGCACCAATTCAGAGATTATTTGAGGATCAGGATAAGATACATTTTTGTTAATAGGTAAAGTACTTGAATGCATTTTGAAGATTTAACTCCTGAATTTAGGGTCATTTTAACCCGCCTCAGCTGCTACTTTCTAAAAATGTTTTGCTATATTCTAAAAACAGGAGTCACTACCACCTGATTTCCAGCAGCACAGCAGAAATCGCTACACTATACAGAATTGCTGTCTAAATTATAGAATATATATTTATAGAATATATAAATAATCAACAAAATGCCAAAGAATGCTACCCAAAACATAAAAAATTTATAGTGGATTGTTTTTATTTTACTTTTTCCCATTGCAGAGGTCTCGATTTCCAGGAAGGAAAGGGTTGTCCATGATGTAAAATCTGGTATGATGCTAGGACATTTATGGGTACACATTGGCAGCAGAAAGAGATTTTCCAGCTCCTTTGAAAACCTGGCAACCTGCATCAGTCATGAACTAGTTCTGATAAAAGCGACTATTAGACAAAAAAGTCATGTTTCTATTTAGAAGAGGATTGGGAGATGCTTTTTTGTTATGTGATAGAGTGCAGATGTTGCTAAAAATTAAAAAAAAAAATGAACTAGTTTGGGAAGGAAACAAAGATACAATGGCTTTGTTGTCCCTGTGGCAAGGACCTGTACTTTACTTTAAATTTAAAATGTACATCTACATTAAGATTTACACCCTGCATCTCTCCCAATGCAAATGCAAGCAACCCAAGCATCAGTCATATGTCTTACAACAGAAACCCGGCCTGCCAGGAAGTGAAGCAGTGGCTTCCTGAACAGCAAGAATTATCGTTATGGGAACTGTGAGTGTGGACAGAAAGACCTTGCTGCTCGTGTGATTCAGAGCGTGACCACACCAAAAGCACAGAGCAGAGAAGTAAACCCACATAGCAGGCCTGGGACCTACTTTTACTACACCTTGAATATAGCAAATATATGTAGCTGCGAAAAGTAATTATACCACAGCGTCTCTTAGATATAGCTTTAATACCAGAGACAAAGATAAAAACTGTAACATGCTGATTAGCATTGCTTTAGGAAGACTATAAATAATAAACAGCAGTCAACACAGTAAAATAATGTGCCTAAACAATAACTGATGTATGTAATAAATCAGTTGTCATTGTAGAGCTAGACTTGTCCACGGAATGTAATTTCCAAGAAAGATAAATTCCCATGGATGCTACTTAATGACAGATTTATAATAGAAATGGTTGTCATAACAAATGACTTTTCTGAGGTATTTTGTCATAGGAAAAAAAAAAAAAAAAAAGCATGTGATAATTACTTTGCATGAATGATGAAACACTAAATCTCACCTTTCAAGAGCAGCAACTCTACAATATCAGCGTATCCTTTCCATGCAGCAGCATGCAGAGCAGTGTCTCCAAGCTTATTCTGGACAAAGTAGAGGATTGCTTGTCATTATTTTAACACAGCTACTGTAATATTTGTTCATTTTTTATTAATAGTCTAGAGAGTCACAAAACCGTTTTTTAGTTCAATATATAACACTGCCAAATGTTTTCGCATTCTAGACATTCAGGATCAAACTCCCCAGAATTAACTTGTATATTACTGCATGTTAAATGGCCAGAATGAAAAAAAATGAACACCTTTCACTGTATACAGGAAACACACAACCATGTTGCCATGGAGGATTTGTATTCAGAGTTAAATGTGAACCATAGACCTGTGGCCAGCTTGAAAACCTCTTCAAAATTTGGGGCCCCGGATCTTTTGCCATAATGCGCAAGTATGTTCAGCATATTTGCACATTAGGACAGACCTCCAACAGTACTGTGCTCCCACTCATTCCTCCAACATCAGCACTTCCATCTTCACGAGGTCTTTTATTGGTTCAGTATCTTTGGCTGCCTTTACTGGCCAAGCCTGGATGACATAACTTCCACTGCATAATGGGAGTAATATTATTCTGGCAAAAAGATAAAATCCTACTGACACTGTACACACAGTTGCATATGCACGTCTCTGTGTAGAGTTAGATAAAATGTAAACGTTGGCAGACTGAAATAAGCATTTATGACAAAAGAGACACACAAGTCTCTTCTGCCATGAAAAACATACCTGTCATTGTTTTTTTTTTGTTTAACCGACTTCAGTCCTGTTAGAGAGCAATCTGCCATGAATATTTACAGTCCCTGTCCACATGTCATACTTGGCAGCTATAGACCTTAAAAGAAATAAAGCCATGTTTCCTTGCTGCATGCGCATTTACAGCAGAAACAAATCATTTGATCAAAGGTGAAAGTACTCAAATAGATGCAAATGCTTACCTGCTGGTTTAGTTCAATATTTGGCTGTGTAAGTAAGACTTCCACAACATCTAGGATAAAATAAGAACATACGTTGTAAATGTGTTCCCAAACAAATTCTAATATTAACAGAATAGTTTGGCCCAACATATTCAAAATTTGTGCAAATGGAAACCTTTTAAAAAGCATTCAGAACTCCTTACCTATCGGTGTTTAAAAAACAGTGATGTCAGCATATTCCCAAAGATACTGGGAAGCCCCTTTTGGACCCCCAAGTTACAGATTCTTGTTTCCATTTATTTATAGTTCGGAAACCCTCAGCTCGGTGAGACAGCTACACCAAAGAGAATATCCCACCTAAATGAACTTCTCCATTTTCTTTTGAAGAATGCCTGATGTACTACTCAAAGTATTTAAATTTAATTTGCAATTTGATCTTCTATATAATATAATGTGAAACCAAATGCAATAATAGCGGCAAGAACCATTATACTCAGAACATGAAAGAAACAGGAATGCCCTCTATTTTCTACACTGGTAGATGCACTATATTAAAATGTTTTCATTGAAAGTATGGTGGCGTAAAAGATCTAATCCAAGGAAAAATCCAAACAGCAATGGGACCCATGACCTAAGATGTGCTCTTCATATATAAATATTGACACGTCTGACTCGTTCTCTCAGAGACTTGGGTACCTGGTAACCTGGAAATAGGGGGTCTCATTTTTTTTCTACTCTGAACCAAGATTTATTCCGGTGACATTGTTAACAGGGTTTTTTTCCATTTCAACCTGCATCTCAAAGTTGAACTCTGGGCGTCAACAAAATATTATCTAACAAAAGAGAGCAATGTGTAGTGTTACTTTAATCTTAAGTGTTCTTTGTGTATTTCTTCTAGATCTGTGCAGTAATACAGCATGAAACAACTCCTGCACTTTACCTAGTTTAAAACTTAACACCAGGCAACTGACTTATCCAATGTAAAGCCCCTCTAATACCCTGATTAATGAAACAAAAAGATTTTCTCCTTACTCTGCACTATTACTGAGTTATTGTAATATATAAGCTCTGTGATGGCATCACAGGGTCTCCTTAATAAGCCAGTGGGAGGGGCACCCTATGCGACTTCCTGTGCATGTAAAGTGCCTTATAAGAGCTAGTGGGGGTGGGAACTGTGGGCACCTGCATGGTCCGTGAAAATTTTTGTACCCCAAGTTCAGCTTTAATAACAGTTTGTGGACCAGAAAGTTTAAACTTGTTAGTATTCTTGTAAGTAAGGGGGAAAAAAAAAAGTGAAACAAACCTTTATGCCCTCCATGGGATGCCCAGTATAGAGCAGTGCTTCCAGCTTTATCCAACCCATTAACGCCAACTCTGTTTTCTAGACACTCTCTCAGCCAACTCAAGTTACCTAAAATGTTATCAAAGGCATTAGATTTCAGAATACAGTACACATTAAAGCCAATGGAAATCCAACTAAAAATGTATCATTTTGCTTTGTGCCGGGACATTAATGACACAAGCTGGTGTATGTGTCCATCTGTTAGGCCCACAGAATTTATTAGAAAATCACCCAACATTGGTGGAGTACAGAAACTACAAGCAGAAAAAAATGGACACTGATAAAGAGCAATAACATAGTGCAGCTTAAAATTGGACCAAAAAAAAAAAAAGTGTGCTTTCAAAAAACACAGTACCTTTTATATATTCTGGAGTAGGCTCATCTATAAAATAATTTAAATGATTACTTAAAAGTAGGGATGCACCGATACCAAGTACCGTACTCAGTACAAGTACCGATACTTTGAGCTCCAAGACTAGACTAGAGAAAAACTCAAAAGTTAGGAGGCAGCTGTCATTTGTAAGGAGCACACGGAGCTCCTGGGATTTGTACATCTCTGTTTTAATGTATGATTTCAGGACAGCGGTGGAGCGCCAGAGCCAGGTCCCAGCTGCAACCCTGGTAGATCTCATGAAAATGCCAAGTATCGGCACTGATACTGAGAAAGTATCGGTGCATCCCTACTTAAAAGGTAAGCTATAGTTTTATCATGCCAACATTTACATGTATGAGAGATTATCTTGCTGTAAATAACATTACAGGTTAGGATAAGGTTTTAAAAGCTTTGTTTCTATGTGTCATTTGTATATGTATATAGAGGCAGCAGTAATTGTAATACACAGGCTCTCCTTCCTGCTTTGCAGTAACATGATTGTGCACACAGTACAAGCCTGTGAGTTGGTTCAAATGAGTGAAGAAAATATACCCCCCTGTTCAGCTGATGCCTTACAATCGGTTAAAAGAGAACATATACTAATAACATATACTAATGACCTCCTGTGACCCAAAACTCAGCATGTAGCGGGCTATTGCAGCCGGGAAGAATCTTAATATTGTATAGATCCACCCCACTGCCTGATTGTCAGCTGGCTCTGCCTCTTTAGAGGCAGAGCCAACTGTGCCCACCCCCTCCGACAAGGGGAAGTGGGGAATCCCTGCGGGGAGCAATGACTGACAGATTGGGAACTGAGCGATCGGCGGTATGTTATCGTGCAGTTCCCAATCAATAGAACCAATGTCAGCTCTAATTATGTGGATGAGTGTCATTTACTCACCCCTTATGTCTCCTTTAAGCAGAAGGTTGAATGAGGCAGAGTCCTATAAAGGACTCCCTCTACGGGTTAACTTACAAATCTCTACAATGATTGCAATAACAAAAATATGAAATAGCAGGAGCATAAAACAGTGCACTGCATCTTAAGGAGAGTAAAAATCTGCAATAGTATTTCTAACGTGTTCCCCTTCCCCTTTAATTATATACATCCACAAGAAACCAAAGCTAAAATTTACATATGAACTAAAATTTTCAGCCATCATTTGATTAGATATGTTCATAATGATACAAAGATGAGATGTTTAATATTAGAAAGTACAGGGCATATAAATCACTGAAAGAAATATAATTTACAACTGAAGAAACTAAATTAGGAAATCACTAGAAGCAAATGTGTTTAAGATGTTGTTTTGGCTGAAGGGCAAATCAGGTTGTAAAGTGCATGATTATGGATAATACATACCCCGTTTAGCAGCTTCATGCAGTGGATTATCAATTGATTCTGCTTGTTCAGCAACTGAAAAAATATAATACATCATCATTCTGTGATCTATTAGACCTATATACAGTATGTACAGGGTTTATGAAAAAAAATTTGTTAAAAATTATAAAAGCATAGATATTAGCACATATTGTATGAAAGCCAATAACACATAATGAAAACTAAAACCCCCTGCAGGTACATTAACCAAGCAATAAATGTAGCATAGCTTGTTGGAATAAGCCCCAACCTCTGGATCATCTATACAATTTCTTGGAGTTCATTGAGGGACACAGGAATTATAAAGAGACTGGGGGTTATACTGCCGCATATAGGAGGATTCGGACAGCCTAACCCCCCCAACCCCTAACCCCAGTATAACCCCTCCTACTCCCAGCATGCCTTAGTTTTGCAAAAAAAGCAATACCAAGAGCATGACACAGAGGGATGGAATCTGTGTTCCTTAATGAACCCCCAAAAATTGGATTTTAAAGCATTTTCTTTTTTTGTTCAATGAGGGACAAAGGAATTGTAATAGCAAGAAAACACTAACAGGCGCACATAAAACAACATGAGGGACTGCTTGCAGCTCAGGGAGCCACCTAAAGGACCTTACAAATGAATCTGGCATCAGAAGAGGCCTGAACATCCACCTTTTAAAACTTGGAGAACAGGTAATACGGGAACCATCAGGAATGACAAAGAGAGAGAAAGGAAGCAAAAGGCATAAATCAGGTTGTACTGATCCCACAGAGCCACCAGAGCATCTTTTGCTTCTACCAGAGGATCCCTGTACCCGGAGACAAACCTGTCTAGTCTGTTGTTGAACCTGGAGGCCAGGAGGTCCACATCCAGTCAGGTGAATCGGTCGGTCCACAGACTGAACCAACTTGTCCCACAATGACAGGATGCTGTGCTGTAGAGGTCTGTAGAGGAACTGGGCAAATGGGATTGCCTCATAAGAGGCTACCATCAGCCCCAGAACTTTCATGCAGAAGTGCAGAATTGGACAACCCCAGGACGAATACCTGGGAGCAGAATGTGTTTCTCCTGTGGAAGAAAAATTATGGTTGCAGCAGTGTCTAGCATGAGATTCAGATATTCCAAAACAAGGAGTAGGCTCCAGTGTGGACTTCTTAAGGTTCAGGACCCAGCCAAACCTTTGCAAGTTCTGGATAGTTCAGGATATGTTGTTAACCAGAACCTGCTCCCTCAAAAGGAGATCATCCAAAAAAAGTAATGCCCTGGGAGTGCAGCAACACTAGCACAGGGGCACCAGCACCTTGGTGAACACTCGAGGTGCAGAAGAAAGGCTAAATGGCAAGACCACAAGCTGGAAGTGCTGGGGACACACAGCAAAGCAATCACTGATGGGCTAGAAAAATGTGGACATGAAAGTACACATCCTTGATGTCAACAGAGGCCAGAACGTTTCCCTGATAGTGTGAGGATTTGACACACCTGGTGGATTTCATGCAGAATTTCTAGGGCCTCGAGTAAAAAAATGTAGGGCCCTGCAATGCCCCCTTTTGGTTTGGGAACTGTGAACAGGATAGAGTGGAAGCCCTGGAACCGGTTTACTGGAGCGATGACCCCCGGCTCCAGAAGACCCACGAGGCCTGCTAAATTGTGTGGTTACACAGGCAGATTGGAAGACATGAACTGAGAAAGGGAAAGCGTGTGGAATTCTAGCTTGTAGCCCCTGGAAACCACCTCCACACTCAAGCATCTAAGATGCTGGCTGTCCACAAGACTAACCGATGTCCCCCACTTTGGAAAATTGAGGTGCCACCTCATGCTGAAGAAGATTTTGGGGAACTTAAAATTCCAGCGTTTGCAGGAAGACTGGGTAGCAGGCTTAGACTTGGCTTTGAAGGTTCAGGCCAGGAAATAACAGAAAGGGACTCTTCTTGGCCTCCAAGGAGGGATAAGCCTTCCTGGACTAAGCCCTGGGGTTCTTCAGCTGGGGCAGATGGGTACTCCTGCCCCTGGTGACATCCTTGGTAAGGGAATCCAGGGCAGCTTCAAAGAGATGCTATCCCTCAAATGGTATGCAAATCTGTTGCTTTTTGACTACTGGTCCCACAGCCTAACACTTTAACAAAGAGTGTTGGGCTGTGGAATGTTCACTGAAAGAAGACTCATACAGGAAATGTATGAGTCTTCACCAATGGGGCTGTTTACACTCCCACCAATGTATACATGAGTTAATATGGGGTATTCTATGTTGTAATTTTTTATTAGGGGTAATGTACCCAGGTAAATATTTAGGAATTTTGATCAAAGTGACTTCTTCGGAATGTTTTTTGTGTGGGAAGGAGGGGATTTTTTGCAAGTTTTCTTTTCAGAAACTTATTTGAGCATTTATGTGATTATGGATTTAGTTTGCGGTATCCTTCAAAATCAGATAATTATGTAGTTAATAACATAAAGCTGGCTCTCCTGGACTTCAGATCTTTGTGAGGGTTTGTGGATCTCTATACTATATTTAGTTCAGCTAGACTATGGCAGACTAGTAACATGGCCAGGACAGGTTTCATAGCAAGGTCTACCATGGAGAATAAGGCTTTAAAAAGGGCCTCCAATCACTTGTTGAGAGGGTCCTTAAACACATGTGAATCCTCCATAGGCATCATCAAGGCTTTTGTAAGATAGGATACTGCCGTATCCACAATGGGGGCAGTCCACTTTTTTAACAAAGCCTTTCTCAAAACGGGGCTGACAGACATTTGGGAGAAATGAACAGCTTCTCAAAGTTCTTCTCGTCTCAATAAAGGGCAACTGCAAACACCACGTGCACAAGAAAGGTCTTAAGCACCCTAAAGGAACCTAGACTAGAAACAGTGCTGGTAAAAGCTGCAGGCTGATCCTCCATTATTATTATAAAGAGAGTCTCCATATAAGACAAGGTCTCAGTGCCTGAAGGCCGCTAATGGCATGTGCAGATTGGATTAGGATTATGCAGATGAAAGCATTGATGATGGCTCACGGCCTCTGTGGTTAGAGTCAGCAATTAAGGTTGAAATTTGTCCCATAATCTCTGTATAGCTGTGCTGAAATCCTCCGGGGATAGAGCTGAGGAGGAGACCACACGCAACAGGGCTAGGGAAGACTCAGCAGATAGCATAGATAGACTCAAGCATAGATAGACTCAAGCAGAGGACAACATTCTAGGTTGTCAGTGTAAGGCCCTTCAGTGGGTGTGCTACGGGAAACACCAGAACCATTGGTGGATGGTGTGCTGGAGGCACCTAGTACAGTGTGACTGTTTCTCATGTGTCTAGGATTCCAGATTTTTCACCACAAAGCAGGGGCAGCGTAGCTCAAGGTACAGGACTGGGCCTTATATACTCATGAACCAGCTGCTGTTAGCAGGAGAGGTTCAGTCAGTTGAAGTGACCAGGTGTTTCCTCAACGCTGAATGGTGGGAAAGAGGATGGAGCGCAGGCGAAACTCCACCCAGCAAATGGCGTCAGCATTTAGGTGCTGCAGAGATTTTAATGAAAAGGGCATTTACATTTTTCTTTGAGGCCCTGTCATTTGTAGTAACACCCTTGGATATTCAAAATGTATGTAAATCAGTCAGTGTTAAGGAAAATTATAAAATGCAAAGTGCAGTAATTTCAGCTAGCAAATACAGTGTACTGAAATCTGGCTGTTTGCTATACTATCACTGCAAAATAAACCAAGCGGACATGTGCTCCAAATCAGATTTACAAAATAGGCTAATGCTTTTATCTCCACAACAGTGTCAGAATTATTTATATATATATTTATTCCAACACAATAAAACCAGAGCATTCATCTAAAAGACACAGATCTGTATAATAGTTTAATACCTTACCATAGTTGCTTGGTATGAGTCCTGTTTTTCCTTTACAAGTACCTTTCCACCAATTTGTATCAGTCTGAGAAAAGAAAACCCCTCACAATTAATTCAGACAATGGAATTTAAATAAATCTTAACAAGGAAAAAAAAACTATTATGTCATTAATTCCTGATTCTTTTTAAAGCAAAGTCATCAGATTATGCATAGTAAATATGGATGTTCTGATACCACTTTTTTTTTTTATTACCAAGTACAAATTGCCGATACCAATTACCGATACTATTTCTTAAAGGGATATGTGACAATTTTTCTAAAACAACACAGACTGATGATTTTAGGGCAGTTTCTCACCAGGGCTAAATACAGATGTCCCCAAAGCCAAACACATGTCCCCAAAGCAGAATAGTATTCTGCTTTGGGGGACATGTATTCTGTTTTGGGGACATGTATTCTAAGAATACATGTCCCCAAAGCAGAACACTTGTCCCCAAAGCAGAATATAATTGAATGAATTACCTTTGCCAAATGTATCTTAGACACCGCACGGCATGCATTGCTTACATTTCTAAACCAACCTACGACTAGGATACAGACATCACTGCTCTCCCTTCTCTAGACCAGAAGCAAGCTTATTGCCACATGTGCATACCTCCCAACTGTCAGTCATTTGGAGGGACTATCCCTTATCTGGAACTAAATCCCTCTTTATCTCTTTCCTCCTCAGTTGGCCTGATGTACAGATCTCCATCAGTTAGTCTAATATCTGATGTCCCTCTTTTTGGTTTTATGTATAGATACATAAATGCAAATTTTTCATTGGGGACATGACAGGAGTACATCCGTTGACTAAATGCATTGTGCTGGAAGGTGTCCCTCTTTCTCATCTCATCTCAGAAAGTTGGGAGGTATGCATATATGGTTACAAACAACTCTTCTACAATCTCCACATATATGTCAAGACACATTAAAATGTTGTTCTTTTGTGACCTGAGAACTTCATATGGGCAGTGAAATATAAGAGGAAATGTCAATTTTCTGTGCACAGGAACATCTCTTGGCAAACCTTTGCTTAGTATGGAAGTTTTAAGCTTTTTTTTTTTTTTTTTTTTTTTTAAATCATACTGAATTTGGCTCTTATGTTAGCTGTACAGCCCTTTCTGTTATCAGAGTTTACATTATACTCTACAGACCCAAGACATCAATGTTAGATCCCAAGAGGATGTACTGGGTGGTCTGAATTTTCTTTCTTCATCCCCTGAATTAGAGTAGACAGAGGCAAAGTTCCCCTTCTATGTGGTCTGACTGACTGTTACCAGCAAACAGGTATAAGAACTACAAAGTACATTGAATTTCTCTTTTCCCAATGGCAGTAATGTCAGTTTAGCCAGAGACAGTCAGTTATATCCTCGTAAGATATCAGACCAGTGAGCCCGGTAGAAACTGTAAATTAAAATTGTATATCTAGCTAAAACAATGCTTTCTCCATTTTAGATGCAGTAAAAAAAGGGTTATAACTCCTGTACGTATATATTGCCATTTGTGTGTACCGGTAGGGGAACTTTTCCTTCCATTACTGTTCTAGAGAGGCAACAGTAAGTGAGTTGAAATCTCCCAAATGTGAAGGTACTTCCAATCTTAGGACTTTGCATGTTCTCCCTGTGCTTTCGTGTGTTTCCTCCGGGTATCCCGGTTTCCTCCCACACTCCAAAGACACGCTGGAAGGTTAATTGGCTCCTGTCTATATCGGCCCTGTATGTATGCATGTAAGATAGGGACTGTATATTGTAAGCTCCTCGAGGGCAGGGACCGATGTGAATGTGCTCTATGTAAGCGTTTGTATGTAAATTGTCGCCACTATATACATTTCTGTAATAAATAAATAGCTGTTACCAGAACAAGTGCTATTTATAGATCTCCCCTCACCCCATATTGTGTACATCCATATCTGAGCAGAAATCCAGTGTGAAACGTTGCCTCTGTGCATAGCTTTACCGTTATGAAGACCAATCACTGCTGCACTCTCTCCTTGTATAGGGTGACTGGTCTTGTATCTGCCCCCCTCCTGTAGTTTTCTGCATGCATCCTGTAGTGGGTGGTATTTGTTGAGTTGCCCACCACAGTTCTGCTCTCTGCACAGCTCATACATATATATATATATGTATATATATATATACACACACGTGTCGAGGGCTCAGCTTTAACATTACACATACCTCTAAATTTTAATTAAATCATCAGTTTAGAATAAGTACCATTAAAACCCACAGTGGCAGACAGAGCATGTGGTAGGATGTAATGTCTGTTTAACTATAAAAACTTACCATGTCCGCAATGTAAAGGATATCTCCTTCATCGAAATACAGTTCATCAGGCTAAAAAACAGAAAGCAAAAGAGATAAAAATACATGGCTTAACATATGACAGGCTGTTTAGAAAAACAGAAAACAGTGTATTTACATGTGTCTGTGGCTTCTAAATGCACAGAAAAGCAATACTGCAAAACCATAAAGCTCTTTTGCTCTTTTCCAGAACAATCATTTGGCTTGTGGTCTCAGGAAGTGGCAACCACCTTTTCGAAACTTTCAGTGTAAAACAAAAAGCATATTAAAATACCAAATACACAATTGGCAGAATATGTACTCTCTTAAAAGCGAATAACTACAATTTATACTTAAAGCACACTTAAAGTTACATTAAACCCTCAGATTTTTTAACATAAGCCAATACTGTAATGTGTGCCTTACTGTAATCCATGGTTGTTTCCCTTCTCTTTGCTGCTCTTCCTTTTAAATCCTCATGTCTTCTCATGCTTGGGGAGAACTTCCCTTTGCAGCTGAGTGCCTCTTCCTGTAGTGCTGGCTCAGGTTGCAAACCTACACACAGACACCATATATCCATTCCTGAGCCAAGGCAGTCTGCTGCAAAACAGAAGTTCTGTCCAGCATGAGAACAGATACAGATTTAAAAGGAAGAGCAGCAAAGAAAAGGGAAACAACCATGGATTACAGTAAGATACACATTACAGTATTGTTTTATGTTAAAAAATCTGAGGGTTTAATGTCACTTTAAATGCCAAAAAAAGTCATATATTGCCGTGCTTAGATGTAGTGGCTGCATCCCCCCCCCCCTTTAGTATGGCCTGATGATCCTACAATTAACAATTCCTGTCACTTTGTGGCCACTCTCATTTCTCCACTGTATCTATGGAAGTAGCCAAGGTTGGCACACTAGCTGCATTTTAAACATGACTGCCTTTGTTCATCTGCATTACACAGTGGACTGATGGGGCTAATAGTTTACAGAGGAAAGATAAGCTCACAGGAAATCACAAGGACACTATATTTCTGGCAAGATCAACAGACATTTTCTGCCCTCTAATCTAATCTAATCTAATGCACCCACCAAATCTAGGACTGATAAGCTGCTACATAATAAAACTGTATTTGTTTTTATGTTAGACAGGTTTTAAAAGAGGGACAGCAGGCAAGTAGATAAATACATAGCTCAAATACATAGATGGGAACTGGTTTGCCTGCTAAAAGGACTGTGAATTCTTTTCAGTCAGTCTTGCGATCCAGACACATCTGCTAGACAGCAGAGGTCCTTTTTCTCCAAAGAAAAACCAGCACAAATAATCAAAAATGCTCCCCAGTCACTTGATTGGACAGTGTTGGAATAGCAGGATAATAATGGGTCATTCCTCTGCTCAGTTAGCATGGTGCCTGTCATCACACGGAAACTGCAGCAAAGCCTGACTGGCTTCTAGTGCTGCCTCCCCCAGTCTATGTACTGCTATGCAGGGCATTGCAGAAGGCTAATATCAAGGCAAAAATCATATTTCTGTTTGAGTCATTAAGAAAATATTCAAACAAAATAAGGCCCCGTTCACACCAGGACAGTTTGGCCAGATCCACCGACATGAACGATCCCATGCATTGCTATCGGGACCGATCATGCGACCGCGTGGCTCCACGCAATCCGAACCGCCTCCCGCCCAAATTGCTCCCTGACCCTTTTTTGCAGCTTTGATCAGTGCGGTTTCCATACGTTTTCCAATGGAACCGTACCGTTCAGTTTTGGGCTTTTTTAATTGCGTTTCAATTAAAACACCCAAAACCGTTCTTTTAAAATCTGCACAGAAACCGCGCTGATCCGAATGGGGCCTTATATGCCAGGTTTAGCTGCAAAGCAAAAGAACAGTAAAGCCAGTCACAATTGAGAAAGCATCTCACTGAATGTAAAGCAATAGGACATCTGATTGTCTATTCTTATATCAGAGTACCTTTTCAAGTCGTAATCTTAAAAGCCTTCAGTAATGACTCCAGGCTTGTTCACACCATGTCTGGCTCATGTCCAGACCAGAACAGTTTGTTCCCGGACCAAAAAAGCATCCCAATGTATCCCTATGGTATTTCTGGGCTCTGTTCACACCAGCGCAGTCCAGACCAGACAAAATAAATAAAGCATGTCTCACTTTCTCTAGTCTAGAATGCACTGGAATACATAGAAACGCATAAAAAATGCCTCTTTAGTGTGGATGGGGGAATCAAGTGTATGGCCAGCAAATACAGTTGTACAATAACACGGAGTAAAGGAGGATCGAATACAGGTAGTGCATTTCACATCAGTTACAGTTCTTGGGAGAATAAGAACCAACAAAAAGACTTACATTCGCATGTTATAAACTGAATCTTGAGGAACGTCAAACATACAGTCCTGAGATATTAAAGTGTGAATAAGGAAGAAGAGACATTGAAACGGTAGAGGAAAGTGGAAGAAAAGAGGGGAGGGAATAAGTGAAAGAAAATACCCTGGGTAGCATGGTTGAGAATCATACTCAGATGTAGGACTATATTCAGATAATAGGGACAATAATTGACGGTCAAAATCGCGAAATCCAGGGATCCCAAATTTAATGGAATTTAACCACAGAGTCAGGGAGTTTAGCTGAAAGTTTTTCATTGGATAGAGTTGAATGAAATCAAGTTTTAACCAGGTGGAAATTTAGGGACCGTGATTTCCAGGATTTCACCATAACTGATTTGGGCAGCGGTTAGGATATGGGTCATTAAGGCGAATTGGCAATTGTGGAGACCGGGGCGGTATTAAATTCCTTACAATTTTGTTATCACTACGCTAGAAAATGATCATGTTTGACATCATCAAACATTAGAAAAATCGAACAAACATTCCGAAACAATTTTTTTTTAAATTCGACTAGTGTATGGCCAGCTTAAGCAAGTTTAGCAAAGATATCAAGGAAAAAAATATAAACTGTATATCTCTCTCAAAAGAAAGTAAAAACCTATGCTTTTTGAGACATGGTAAATAATATATTCAAAAAATTACCGTTCTTGGTTCAAATGTGTAAAGAGCCCGGAACACTTTGACTTGCCCTAAGAAAAAAAAAAAGAAGAATTACTACACGCATATCTCAATTAAAGCGTAGTAGAAGGATGTGCCAACTTAAACATACATCTACACTTTATTATTGTGTTTATATAGAAGTTTATGGTTTAAAACATTTTAATAAAAACATTATAGCTATGTAATCAGAACTAATCTTCCACATCTGTGATGTCATGCTATTAAAAGGTGAAGATGGCAAAACAGGTACAGCGCGAAAAGCCACCCCTGTCAGTGGTATGCAGAGGTTTCAATGAAGCAGAGCAAATCACTGCTAACAGCAGAGGCTTCATTAGCACTAACAGAAGAATAGGTGTACAATGTGTTTATTTTAATATTGACTCTGCTCCGCTCCACTGAAGTCTCCACACTGCAAAGAACTAGCACACACTGATCAAACATTGTCAGGGTTATTCACAAAAGGGTGAAGAGTTTGGAGAAGGCAGGTGACGTGAACAATCTAGGACAAAATAGCTGATATGGAAAAATTCTCCAATTCAGCTATGTTGTCCTAGATTGTTCACTTCTCCTGCCTTCTCCAAACTCTTCACCATTTAGTGAATAACCCTGTATATATCTATACGGCCTCTTATAATGCAGAAGCACAAGCAATAGGAAAGGAGTTCTCCCTTCCCTTGTCACTGCCCATAGCACAATTCAGTACACTCTCGGAAGCCAGTCCTCTACAGCACTGGCACAGAGGGCTCTTAGGAGAGGTTATCTTGTGGAGGAGCACCTACATATACACATAGGGTGACCCCTCCCAAGGCTGACACTGTAAAAAGATTTTTCGGGGTCTGTGATGAAGTCACAGGGATTTTGGTAAAAGTCTCAGATTATGCTTGAAAATTTTCTCTAAAAATTCAAAAAAAAGTTGAATATCTCACAGAGAGGGATCTGTGCTTTTGAAAATACCACAACCCAGAGTCCAGCATTTGAGCTGTAAAAAGTACATCTGTCAACAAAAGTACAATCAGTCAATGACTTTCTAAATGTAACTAGTAAACACTGCAACTGGGCTAAAGCCAGAAAGTCCACTCAATGTAGCTTTATTCTAGGTTTTAGCACCTGTAACAACAACAACAGCTTTTAGCAATACAATTGGGCAGATTTTCAGCCTGCTATCACGGCTCAGCTTCCCTCTATACATGCAGATGCTAGGATAGGGAAAATCAATTCAGGGCCGACAGAAAGATAGGCACAACAAAACAGCAATGATAAAAATGGAATCACTCAACAGGTAATCTATACAGTCTCCCCGCATCTGGGTTATTGGTGCCCTTAAAACTGTTCCCATATTGGCATTCCCCTCCCTGCCCCTGAAAGACTGGGCGTGAGACAGGGATACTACAAGCTTGTTTGCCCATTATGAGATTTGGTAGACTTTGGTGCTATAATTTATACATAACGGACTAAAAACACTTTCACACATCACATTAAAAAGGTATCTATGGTCAAAATCTAAAAATAAATATGTATTTCTATGTATTGAATTTCCAAGTCCTATCCCACTCCTAATAACCATATCGATTTAGAAGTTTGTAAGCTTGCCTTCTAAACTAACTTATCAACATCTGAACAATGTAACATTATCATTGCTGGCAGGAAGCAATGCATGATGGTATATGAAGTCTTGAGAAATGGAGATTGCATCACATCAAGCGACAGGGAAAGATATGTAAGCACACTGACAATGCAGGAAGGTGTTGAAAGTGATGGACAGATGGAAGGCAGCACTCGCTACCTCAAAGAGCTTACAGTCTAAGGTCCCTAGTCTCTATCTCACATGCATACATACAGGGCCAATTAAGACTGAAACCAGCATGCTTTTGAAATGTGTGAAAGGAAACCCGAGTAATTTTTGATTGCATTATTAATAACAACTATAATATGTATTCCTTAGGGCTGCAACAACTAATCGGCTTCCGATCAGTTGGCCCTGTTCACAGCTCCACACGCTGTAAGTTAGCTGCAGCTCTAATAGTTTATCAGATTAACCGAACTTAATAATCAGCTAACTAATCGATTTTGAAAATAATCGTTTGCTGCAGCTCTAGTATTCCTATTACAATGCTGATGTTATAACTGTATAGTGTATGCTGGGACTTCACAACTCCTTTAGTCCCAGAATTCCTAAAGCCTGGGGTATTCTAATATGTAGTTTTCTGAACTCTATTAGCACATAAAATGATAGGTGCCTCATATCTCCAGCAAGGGATTCTGGAAGCAATATGCCAGCCCTCAAGTCATTTAGCAAAAGCTATGATTTGCATAATACAGAGCCCCTAGTTTTGGAGCTCCCAGGAAACTCTAAAAGCTGTATGAAGGTACACTATATTGCCCAAAGTATTGGGATGCCTGCCTTTACACGCACACGAACTCTAATGGCATCCCAGTCTTAGTCCGTAGGGTTCAATATTGAGTTGGCTCACCCTTTGCCGCTATAACAGCTTCAACTCTTCTGGGAAGGCTGTCCTCAAGGTTTAGGAGTGTATCTATGGGAATGTTTGACCATTCTTCCAGAAGCGCATTTCTGAGGTCAGGTACTGATGTTGAACAAGAAGGCCTGGCTCACAGTCTCCACTCTAATACATCCCAAAGGTGTTCTATCGGGTTGAGGTCAGGACTGTGCAGGCCAGCCAAGTTCCTCCACCACAAACTCGCTCAGCCATGTCTTTATGGACCTTGCTTTGTGCACTGGCGCACAGTCATGTTGGAACAGGAAGGGGCCATCCACAAACTGTTCTCACAAAGTTGGGAGCATGAAATTGTCCAAAATGTCTTGGTATGCTGATGCCTTAAGAGTTCCCTTCACTGGAACTAAGGGGTCAATCCCAACCCCTGAAAAACAACCCCACACCATAATCCCCCCTCCACCAAACTTTACACTTGGCACAATGCAGTCAGGCAAGTACCGTTCTCCTGGCCACCGCCAAACTCAGACACATCCATCGGATTGCCACGCTTGAATTCACTGAGCTCCTGAGAGCGATTCTTTCACAAATGTTTGTTGAAGCGTCTGCATGCCTAAGTGCTTGATTGTATACACCTGTGGCCATGGGAGGTGATTGGAACACCTGAATCCAATGATTTGGAGGGGTGTCCCAATACTTTTGGCAATATAGTGTATATTCAGGTACCTAAGGCCCCATTCAGATGGCTGCTCTGATCAGGTCTGCCTGTCAGTTTTTCAGGAGGACCCGATCAGATGCCCAATGCAAGTCTATGGGCAGACTTGTGTAGACGGATGAGTGTCGGTTTACACCCGGTTACCCCCACCCGAATCCGAAAAGAAAAACGGAACAGTGTTCCATTTCGCTAGACCGGATCATGCCGCATCAGGGGTAATCTGATGTAAACGGACACATGTCCAATTACAGCCGATTGCTCATAGACTGCAATGGGGTGTGGTAATTGCAGTTTTTTCCTCCATTGCAAGATGCCATTAATTCTGTGTTAGTAAGTATAGAAAAACAAACATCTAACTTTATTTAATACACAACCTCCAAATTTCAATTACAAACCAGGAGTACCGTAGCCATTTCTGTTTTTACCACTGAGATGCTTAAGGATGAGTTAGTGACAGTAGCTGAGGAACTGAATTACGCAACCACTTCCTAAGATGATCACGAATGAACTTCTCTAGCATTTATATAATTAAATATCTTACACTTTGAGCACTGGCAGAAGAACACAGAAATTGACTAAGCCCCTACAGTATACCAAAGGGTTTTTGGTCCTATCAGAGCTTTAATCCTACTCTGAAGAGAACACACACAGATGATGTGTTACAGCTGCATGGCTCGTATTTACCTAAAAGACAATGCCCTTCTTATGATGGAGAATAAAGAATGTGTTCAAGCGCCAAATGAATAATTCGCTTGGCCTGAAAAAAGGACTCTCATTCAGCTTTTGCAAATTCTGATATTGTGGGTTACTTTATAGCTTGTTACTCTGTTTTAGTTGTGTTGATATTTGTCTGTCATATTATGCTTCTTAGTGTTAAATGAAAGCATAAGTACACATCTTAACACATTACTGGTTCACTTTACAGTCACAACCAGTACCAGTTACCATAGCCAGAATGTTGTAAGCATTGCCGTTTTCTGAAGTGCCCCACATATACACACACACACACAATGCAACATAAGAATGTTTTCTGGGCTTGAACACTCATGGCATATGTGCTCAGAACCATGCAAAGACTTGCTGGGTACACCAGGTTCTGGGCCTGGAGCAACCACCCATTTCATCCATCCCCAGTGCAAGCAATTCAGTGAACTCCTGGAGTGTTCTAGTAGGTTTCCTCAGGACCTGGCAGAATAGCCACACCTGCTCCCCCAAAGATCACCATACACATCTTTGTAAAATCCCCCTTTATATTTACCAAAACTATGCAATATGAGGACTTTAAAGGGTTTTTTTTGCCTTCCTGTGGGCATAGCGTTCTGTTTCTTCTTCTTTTTTTTTTTCCATATCTCTATAGGTTGAGCTCGATGGACTTGTGTCTTTTTTCAACCTGACTATGTAACCTACCTAGACTATACTGTACTATACTGTTTAAGTCTCTTCTGCCAAGAAAAAAAAAAGTCTACCTGCCTGTCAGCAATTATTATTTTTCTGTGCACTAAGCCACGCATGCACAGCTCAGTGCACAGGTTCAGCAAGGTTCTGTGTCGAAATAAAGTAACTCCTGTGTGTATGTGCAGGAGTTACATTATGCTGGCCTGGCCAATCAACTGGCCGAAGACGCTGAACCTGGAAGAAGACTGGGTGAAGATGGAAGTGCCACTGACAGAGGGGGGAAGTGGATAACTCAGTGCTAGAGAAGATGACCTACAAGGTAACTCTGCATACTCTGCATACTTGCACATTAGGGGGGGGGGGGGGGACCCCTGGGGGGGGCATTAAAAAAAAAAAAAGAAAACACTTTACTCCCACTTTAAGACAGATCCCAGTAAGGATGCTGATAGGCACTCACTGTTCTATT